ATCACCACAGATAAAAACAGACACACACATATATATATATATATATATATATATATTTATATTTAAGGAAGTGATAGAGAGACCAAAAACAAAGAGAGAGAGACACACTGACAGTGTGTTACAGCCTGGGGAATGTAAACACACCAGTACAGAATTCCACACTGAAACATGTTCTCTCTCTCTCTCACACACACACACACACACACACACACACACACACACACACACACACACGTCAAATGTTTAGACACACCTACTCATAGAACAGGTTTTGTTTTAATTTTCCACATTTTAGAACAATAATGAAGACCTTACACACCAACCCACCCCCCGTCATCACAACAAGGCCTGATGTGAAAAAAGAATCTTCATGCTTTGTTGTATTAATAATCTGCAAGTACTGTACATATTTCCTTATTTCATAGTCAGGTTTTCACTGGAAACAAAAGAATTACATTCTTAAAACACCTCTTTGGTATGCAGCTACTGCCAAGCGAGCTCTCCCATTGGTCAGGACTTCAGGAGCTGAAATGCAGGTCTAACGTGTCAGATTAACTACCAGCAGAATTAGGAACTGACAGTGGAATCAAGTTATGTTTGATTTACAGTGGCTGGGATGGGTCATGACTGCACTCCAGGACTGGGCTGCAGCAGGTTTGTGTAAGTTTATACTTAAGTTTGTATGTGAAGTCTTTTCTAAGGCCCAATCCCATTTCACCCCTCGCCCCTACCTCTTAACCCTTAGCCCTGTTTTGCGCGTTCACTTCTAGGATTAGGGTGTGCTGATTTTTGTTGAGACAGAGGGGTAGGGTGAAGTGTTAGGGCTACATGGCCCTCCAAACAGAGGGTTTTTGAAGTAATGCTCTTTTTATTTGAGGGTCCCATTTCATAGGGAAGATATCAACCATTACCCCTTGTAACTCAGTTCCAAGGGGCAAAGTGACACTTGAAAACAAGGGGTAGGGGTAAAAATAAGAAATGGGACTGGGCCAAAGTCCTTAGTTAACACTAGTTTCAAACTATCCCTTTACTAAATTTGGTTGCACCATAAATCCGTAAGTCATGCCTTAACTAGTAACAACTAATTAACATGTACGTCGCTCTAACATGACGATAAAATGTTCAGAACCAATCAGTAAACCTGCTGCCATGGAAACGCGAAGGCAGTTGGCTCTGACTTCTCAATGGAAAAAATATCCATCATAGCAGAGAACGATGTGTACAAGTTAAACTGAATAAAGCTAATTATCTACAGACACTGTCTGGTTATTCTTTAATATTTCCCTGAGAAAACCAAACATGCAGCTTTTTAAACAGCGGTTTGTGGCTGACCGACACAACAGCAGATCAGTTTAGACATCTGGGCAGCTGCTGAGTCTCTGAGCTGGAGCTGTGGGTGTTTAGCTTCATGCTCAGAGTTTAAACCAGGGTGATGATTAGAGCTGTAAGGAAAATCACAGCGTGTAGCGTTTAGAGGTTTTAGCTTAATTAATTTAAAATGTTTTCGTTTGTGCTTTGTACCTGGTTTTTGATGGCTTCCCCAAAAATGTCTCTCAACATTCAATAGAATTAAGAATAATATTAAATATAAAAAATTATTAATAAAAAAAATGAACAATAGAAAAATAATATCTACATTTCTGCTTTATTCCCATTTGATTTTATTCAGCTGAACAATTTATTTAATTCAAGTGTGTTTTAACATCTCTCTCTCTCTCTCTCTCTCTCTCTCTCTCTCCTCCAGACGGCGCTGTCTCCATTAGGCTAAGGTTAGCCTAGCGCTAATGCTGGACATCATGCATCTGTATCAGCTGCCACACACACACACACACACACACACACACACACCACAAAGCCTCTGTTCAGTGTTCATCACCACTGCCTCATACTATGACCTAAGAGGCCGCGCTCCCAGTACCTCTCTCTCTCTCTCTCTCTTCAGTGCTGAGAGAGTTCAGTGCTTTACTGACAAGACTGTCTTTATGTTCACACTCTCTACTGCCAAAACTGCTTCATGATATTATTATATACACTGATATTATTATTCTATTCAATGGAGTTATTGTTCTACTACTAAAGGCCAATTTAAAGTCTTGGCGACGAGTGTCGCTGGACAAAAATATACTGTGGTCAACAGATGTGGCTACGCTGTAGGTTTTCATAATCCTGCACCAGCGACACAACATCAGAATAGAACATCATCTGTAGTTTCTATGAAAACTTGTATGATTATACAGCCAAAGAACAAACATAGAACAGTCTGAAAGCAGCTGCTACAGTCAAACTGCAGTAACAGTAGGGTTTTAAGCTGCAGGGTCGCTATGGCAACCAGAAACACTACTTGTTTTCCATATGCGTTGTGTTTCATTCACAAGCTCTTTGGGTTGCCAGATTTGCCATTTTCCCAAAAATTCCTGTTAGTCTGAAAGTGCAGTGCAGAAGGAAATTACACTGAGTGTGGATACATGCACTCAATAATCTGAACATAATCGGATTTCTG